TGAATCCGTAGTTACTATAGTCCTTATGAAATTTTTGATTTTAGACATTCAATCTAGTGTTATTCTATGATAAGATTGGGTTTAACTAGAAAAATTATCAAGTTGAACATATTCAAATCACTATTCTAAATTTAGCCTAGAAATTTTAGCCCCAAAGATTATGCGTCTTAAAAAAACAATAAAACCTAAAATTCTAAAAAGTTAAAAACGTAAAAGACTAAAAGAAATATGAGGTTTGTTCCCTTACAAATTTACTAAAGCAGCTGGTGTGCAGGGATGGACACACAATGTACATTGATTAGTCGATTGATTTATCTAGTGTTGATGTTGCTCGTTTCAACAGCTACTACGAAGAGAATCTTTTTAACAATGAGACATGTGAGAACTGATTTGCTCAACAAAATGAGCGATGAATTTCTCGCCGATTGCTCAAGTATTTTATTTGAAACAGTGTATACTATTGGTATGGATGTAGACTTCATTATTGATGCATTCCCTAAATTAAAATACAGTTGTGTACAATTCACATTGCAAAAAAATATAATCATTATATTTTTTTACGGTTCTAATTTTCTAATGAAATGCGGCCAGTGCTCTTCTGTGTTATGGATCGCCCGCTGAATCACTAATCATTATTTGATCCAACACAACTCTTTCTTTAGTTCTACTTTGTAATTCACCGGCAAAACTGCTATATGCATAGTCATACATCTCTCAAAAACAAATGGTATCTTAGTCAACAACATCAGCATAACAAGAAAATTTTAGTCCCTCTATTGCTTGATGTAGAGGGGTTTATTGATATAACAACAATTTTGGTGGCTGATTAGACTAGTTGCCTAAACACTAGTGACTGGGCCTGGATTTAGCCAAAGGCTTCCTTGTTCCAAGACCAAGAGAGAATTAGGGAGGCCAATGATTTTTGGCTCATTAATTAGCTAAAGGCTAAAGGCTTGACTTGTTAATGAGCTCACCAGCTCTATTCGAGTTTGGCTCATTAATTAGCATGTGATATAGCTTCTAGCTCAGGTATCATATCATTTAGTTTATAATTTTTAATTTTTTATTTGATGTTACATAATTTCATTTTAAAATATAAACGAGACATGCCAAAGGTAACATAGTCTAGTGGTGAAACCACTGGACTAATTGAGCTTTAGATGTGGGAGGTCCAGAGTTCGATTTCCAGTGGCGTCACTTAAGCGTTCCCGGTGACACCCTTGGTATCGGAGGCGAAGCCTCCCCAATGTTGGTAGCAGAAAGCCCCGGTTAGTATCAGGTACCCCCTGTCAATGTAGTCAAAAGTGAGTTTCTACGTAGAAACGTATTGGTGATCTATAAGCGTAAAATCGTATGTTTTTAAGTTTTAAAGCGAAGTTTTTAACTACAGAAGTTATAAAAACTGAGATTTTGTGTAGAAGCGTTTTAGTGACTTAAAAACGTGAAATCGTAAGTTTTTAAGTTTTAAAGCGAGATTTTAACTACATTGCCCCCAGTGGTTTAGTAGTGTACTTGGGCACCGGGCCATTCCGCCCATGGGCTAGCACGGCACGACACGGTTAGAGCACGACACGAACACGGGCACGAAATAAATGGGCCAGCCCGGCACGAGCACGAATAATTTATGGGCCGTGTCGGGCCTAAACTTCATGGGCAGGGGCATGGCACGGTATATAAGTGGGCCGTGTCGGGCCTAATATTTTCGAGACTTTATTGAGTATAAGAACGGACATGTCACGAAAATAATATTTATTTGATAGAAAATAAATATAAAAGAATTATAGGTTCAAATATTACAAAACACAAGTAGAAAATTAATTATTTGTTGTTGTTAGAAATGTTATAAAGATATATACGTAATTACTAACATAAGTAAAAATGGACAAAGAATTAAACAAAGCTAAATCACACTCGCTATACTTCCAATTTTCTTTTCCCCCTTATTTGTTACTTTTCTCAAACATTATCGGTTAATACTATCTTCCCCCGTCCAATTTTCACCTTCTTCTTCATTCTCTCTTTTGTTTTCGTCTTTTTCATTAAACACGAATATGAGCATGACATGAACACGAATAGGCACGATACGATTCGAACCGTGTCCGGGCCTGGGCCGGGCCTAGCAAAGTTAACAAATAGGCTTGCATGGCACGACACGAAACTGACGGGCCGTGCCAAGCACGACACGAAATAAATGGGCCCGAAGCGTGCCCGTGCCGTGTCGGCCCAAACACGGCCCAACGCCCATGTACATTTAATAGGCCCCGCTGTCGCTCAAACGACACGTAAGGCTGAGGTTCCCTTGGTTATCAAATAAAAAAGATATAAACGAGACATATTCGGTCATCTCTTAGTACTCTTAAACATTATATATGCCAATACAAAAAATCCAACAAATGTATGAATTATCAAACAAGCCAACTAATGAGTTATTAATCAATTTGCAATTAAGTTGCTAGTAGAGGAGGCTCTCAGCTAAATTACGAGTTAGCTTAACAAGCCACCAAGTCGAGTTACCTTGCGAGCCTTACAAGCCGGACAAACGCAGTTTAAGCTTAACTCATTAGTAAACGAGCCCAGTACCACCTTGAGGGTTTCGAGTTTGAGATATGACAAGGTCCCAGGTTTGATCCCAGTACCACCTTCTTGGTGTTCCCAGAGACACCCTTGGTATAGGAGACGAAGTCTTCCCGATAATGGTAGCACAACGCCGGGCACTGCGCCGGGACAATGTCCTTGATGGTTAGTATGCATGTACTCACAGATTTAGTAGGCTCGGCTGTCACTTATGTGACATGTGGGTTGTTGATGTTCCTGGATTATCAAATAAAAAAATTAGTAAATGAGCCGAGTCTCTCGAACCAGATTTTTCCGAACATCCGCTTAGCTCAAGAGAAACGAAACGTTAAGAAAAGAATGTAATACGGTGGGTTCAAGGAATCGAATAACTGCAAACCCAAAAGATCTGTATCCTTCTTTTCTGATTTCTGAACTTCTTCCAATTCCCCCAAAAAAATCTAACCCCTAACCCAGCCGCCGCCTCACATCTATCGTACGGCCAGAGGTCCGGCGACACCCCCCGAAACCGAACATGGAAGCCGCCGGCGGGAATCTCGATCTCAACGACACCGCCAATTCCGCTCTCGTCGATTCCTTCTACGAGATCACCTCCTCCACCAGGCAGGAAGCCGCTTTCTTCCTCGAGAGCCACCAATGGGATCTCGACGCCGCCGTTTCCACCTTCCTCGACAACGATAACGCCGCTGTCGCTGTTGCCCCTTCTTCTGCTGTACCTGCTGCTCCTCCGACTGGCGGTGGTGGCGGGGGCACTCCTTCTCCGACTGATTCGCCGGACGAATCGATGTCTCCTAACTATTCCCCCTCTCAGTCTCCTGCTAGGTCTAGGTCACGATCCCGCTCCCTGTCCCCTGCTCCCGCCACTATGTCTAGGTTCGAAAAAGTTAAACTGCTCACAGGTCAATTTGTGAGTAGATACTCACTGACCCATGAGCCAAGAGGAGAGAGAAAAAGGCCACTTTTTGGGTGAGCCGAGAATTTGGGCGGAGGAAGTGGGCGGGTTTTGGGCGGCCCGAAATTTTGGGCGGGAGGTGGGCAGCTTTTTGGGTGGCCCGAATTTTTGGGCGGGAAGTTGGAAAAAGGAAGGAATAATTTGGGTCTGGTGGGGGCGGCCCGAAATTTTGGGCGGGAAGTTGAATATCAAGGAACAATTAGGGTTTGGTGGCTTGCAGCCTAGTAAGGGCTGCCCGCCGAGGGCCCATGGGCCGAAGGCTCATAAAACAATTTTTTGGGCCGATATTGACATGACCTGATAGGATATGTTTTTGTAAAAGGACGAATATTGGTATGACATTATGAGATACTAGTCAGGGTTTTACAGATATTTGTTGACATGTGTTGGCATAATATCAATTCCTAATTCCCTTAAGTTTTTTTTACACTCGTTCAGTTATGCATTGTCATTAATAGTTGTCTTGTGCAGGGATGTTTGTAGGTTTTCGTCGTCGATGGTGTAAAACAATTTTTTGGGCCGATATTGACATGACCTGATAGGATATGTTTTTGTAAAAGGACGAATATTGGTATGACATTATGAGATACTAGTCTGGGTTTTACAGATATTTGTTGACATGTGTTGGCATAATATCAATTCCTAATTCCCTTAAGTTTTTTTTACACTCGTTCAGTTATGCATTGTCATTAATAGTTGTCTTGTGCAGGGATGTTTGTAGGTTTTCGTCGTCGATGGTGTAAAACAATTTTTTTGGCCGATATTGACATGACCTGATAGGATATGTTTTTGTAAAAGGACGAATATTGGTATGACATTATGAGATACTAGTCTGGGTTTTACAGATATTTGTTGACATGTGTTGGCATAATATCAATTCCTAATTCCCTTAAGTTTTTTTTACACTCGTTCAGTTATGCATTGTCATTAATAGTTGTCTTGTGCAGGGATGTTTGTAGGTTTTCGTCGTCGATGGTGTTCCTTATGGTTGAGAGACTACTTAAATTTTGGATATTTGTCAGCGTTGTCCCGATATTTATATGCTATTGTTAAATATTACTTTGTCTAGTTGAGATATTAATATTGGTTTGAGTGGATATTAGTCTGGGCACTAAACTCTTTCTCGTGCTTTGTAATTTTTTTGGCCGATATTGACATGACCTGATAGGATATGTTTTTGTAAAAGGACGAATATTGGTATGACATTATGAGATACTAGTCTGGGTTTTACAGATATTTGTTGACATGTGTTGCCATAATATCAATTCCTAATTCCCATGAGTTTTTTTTTACACTCGTTCAGTTATGCATTGTCATTAATAGTTGTCTTGTGCAGGGATGTTTGTAGGTTTTCGTCGTCGATGGTGTTCCTTATGGTTGAGAGACTACTTAAATTTTGGATATTTGTCAGCGTTGTCCGGATATTTATATGCTATTGTAAAATATTACTTTGTTTAGTTGAGATATTAATATTGGTTTGAGTGGATATTAGTCTGGGCACTAAACTCTTTCTCGTGCTTTGTAATTTTTTTGGCCGATATTGACATGACCTGATAGGATATGTTTTTGTAAAAGGACGAATATTGGTATGACATTATGAGATACTAGTCTGGGTTTTACAGATATTTGTTGACATGTGTTGCCATAATATCAATTCCTAATTCCCTTGAGTTTTTTTTACACTCGTTCAGTTATGCATTGTCATTAATAGTTGTCTTGTGCAGGGATGTTTGTAGGTTTTCGTCGTCGATGGTGTTCCTTATGGTTGAGAGACTACTTAAATTTTGGATATTTGTCAGCGTTGTCCGGATATTTATATGCTATTGTTAAATATTACTTTGTTTAGTTGAGATATTAATATTGGTTTGAGTGGATATTAGTCTGGGCACTAAACTCTTTCTCGTGCTTTGTAAATGTAGTTTGTTGGCTGAAAAAAGACGCAAGGAGACTGAGTCAGACTACAATGGGAAACAATCGGTTCCTTATATTATGATGGAGGATAGCCCGTTCCTACAACATGCGGCAAAGGTCTTTACTCCTAACATCTTCAATCGGATACAAAATCAGTATTTGAAAACTGAACCCTATCTAAAGGTCTTTACTCCTTGTGCACGTACTTGCGCTGCGACTTCAGCATCTTCTTCTTCCTCATCCTCCTCTGGCTGTGGCGGCGGTGGATTTCGTCGATGTCTCTTCACGTTCGTTTTATCCCTGCACGTACAAATATCTAGATATATCAAACAATTATCCAAGCAATTCACAACAGATATCATGTTGGTTAAAAACCAATATCCAGATATATCAAACAATTATCCAGGGAAATCACAACTGATATCATGCTGACCAAAAACCAATATCCAGATATATCAAACAATTATCCAAGCAATTCACAACAGATATCATGCTGGTTAAAAACCAATATCCAGATATATCAAACAATTATCCAGGGAAATCACAACAGATATCATGCTGGTTAAAAACCAATATCCAGATATATCAAACAATTATCCAGGGAAATTACAACTGATATCATGCTGACCAAAAACAAATATCCAGATATATCAAAGAAACAATCCAAGCAAAATACAATGGATATCCATAATCAAAATAAATAATATCGGAACGCACACAAAACAGATTATAACATGTATAAGAGATTTAGAGTGCACCATTGATAAATCTCTGCACATACAAATACCCAGATCCTATCAAACAACTATCCAAGAAAGTCATAACTGATATCATGCTCAAACAAAACCAATATCAAGATACATTAAACAACAACCCAGGCAAAAAACAACGGATATCCACACTGTTCCTAATTCTCATCAAAATAGGCAGGAAGTTTCTCCAGAAGCACACTCTGTAGCTCCTGCTGGATTGCCGGAACTAGCAACAGATTCCGCACCAAACTCTCACCTCTCACGCCGGAGGGCGCAAGAACTCTAGCAAAAGAACAACACACCATTTCCTAAACTCAGGCAGCGATATTCCAAACTGGCGAAGCGAAAATCAGGCACTAGTAAGGGAAATAGTCGACCTACCTTTGAAGATTTTGACGAGAATCGATGTAAGAGGAGAATCCAGCCATGAAATCAGAACAGAGTGAAGAAGAATCGCTGCCGCCGCCCCCATCGGAAGACGAAAACCGGCGGTTGAGATGAGCTCGGAGCTTGTGGGGGTCGGAGGGAAGACACGGAGGACCTAGTGGATTGATCAACGTGCATCCGGCATCGGCGAGAATCGACGCCATTTTATCGATTGAAGCTAGGGCGTCGCCGTTGCGGCCTGCTGCTCTCGTGGACGACGGCGCCGATGTCTGCTGCTGGTCTGGTTTAGGGATTTTGGCGGCAGGGAAAGGAGAGACGAAGGGAGAAGAGAGAGGGGAAGTGAGAGAGAGGGGAAGTCGAAGTGGGGGAGAGAGGGGAACTGAATTAGGAGATATAGGGGAACAGTTTTTGAATTTTGAATTGTGGGCCCGGTGGGCTTGGTCAGCCGTGGGCTCGACCAGCCGACCCAAACCGGGTCATCTTCCTCTACCCAAACCAAGAGCCAACTTACCCTTGCCCACGTGGACAACAGATCCACCGTGTGAGTATATACTCACACTTCCCCCTGTGAGCAGCATAACTACATTGGTCTAGGTTGCCTTACCAGCTGAGGCAGAGAGGGGAGAAGAAGAATAAGAAGACTGGTACGGCCGGTGCTAGTGGGAGTGGGAATCGTGGTGGAATAAGGACTTTGGCTGATCTCAATCGGATCCCTGGCGGTTCTGATAGCGATGACGACGACGACGAGCCGCAGGAGTATTACACCGGCGGCGAGAAGAGGTAAAAGAAAAGAAACCAATTAGTGCCCTAGCTAAGTGTCAGAAAAGTTTGAAATTTGGCTTCAATGTCGATACTATGGAGGCAACTTTTTTGGATTTCAGCCGTTTATTGAGCAATTCTTGAACTCTTAGCCATGAATGGTGTGCTTGTTTGCTGCTGATTCCAGTACTGATGAATGATTGGTTTTTGGCTGATGATGTTGCTTCATTGACATTACTTGGTACAGCGGCATGCTAGTCCAAGATCCTACAAGGCGCTATGATGCCGATTCCATTTTCGACCAGGCTAGAAACTCAGGAGCTGTTCAAAGGCCCGAGGATTCTTCTGCTCGATCTTCTTCAGCTTCGAGAAGCTTTACTGGAACTGGGAGACTACTCACTGGAGAGACAGTTCCTACTTCTGCTCAGCCACCTGAGTCTGTCAATCATACCATCACTCTCTGGAGGAATGGCTTCACTGTAAATGATGGGCCTTTGAGGAGGCTGAATGATCCTGCTAATGCTGACTTCCTTGAGGTAAATGCTCATGAACTATATGTTCTTGCCACATTCTGTTGTGGTTTGCATTATTGTGAATACTCTATAGTGCTTGATCTCGCTCTTTAGCTTCCCCACAAGTCTAGTTTCCAGGTTGCTTCTGCCATGTATTCAGTTCATGTTCACAGGTCTTTTGGTTAGGTTTGGCCGGTTAAAATCTGCTTATGTCTCATGCATTAAAGCGTATAAACAATACACGCAAGAAAAGTTGGTTTCGAACGTGTTCCTTCACGTTTCTGACGCAATTGTCTATACAAATGCACTAACATGAACAATATTTTCGGTAAACAATAACATACAAAATAAAATAAAAAAGCTTGTGATTGAGAGAAATAGCATTCCAAAGAGAATGGTTCTGTGTTGCTGGCATATAGCCCACTTGAGAAGCTGTACTGTCTGTATCTTTTTCTTGCCTTGTATGTGAAGTTTCAATCTTTCAATGGAAAGATATGATGTTGCATCTGTGTAAGATATTGCCGTTATGTTGCTACTCGTCTATATCATATTGCAGAGTGTTCAGAGGTCTGAGTGTCCAAGAGAGCTGGAACCAGCAGACAGGAGAACTAAAGTCCATCTCGCCCTAGTGAGACGGGATGAAAACTACGCAGTGAGCTCTCATCTTCGCCCTCTATCTATCCATTTGTCAATTCATCTCGTTTATCAATTCCCCTCCCATCCCTTTCAATGCAGGAACCAGCAAAGAAGAAACCAGCCTTCCAAGGCGTGGGCAGAACTCTGGGAACTACCGGTGATGGTGGAGCCTCAGCATCAGAGTCACCAGCAGCCCCACCGTTGAAGTCTGCTCCAGCTCCCTCAGTCGGTCTCACCGTAGATTCTTCGTCACCAACAACATCGATTCAGCTCAGGTTGGCAGATGGGACCCGGATGGTGTCCCGGTTCAACCTCCACCACACCATAAGAGATGTGCGTGCTTTCATCGTGGCATCGAGACCTGGTGAAGCTCAAGATTTCCAGCTGCAGACAATGGGGTTTCCTCCCAGACAGCTCACTGATCCTGATCAGACAATAAAGGACGCTGAGATCGCGAATTCGGTCGTGATGCAGAAATTCTAGATCAGATTACACTGGTAACCTCATTGCTAGGTAGGCCAGTGGCATTGTTAGCTAAGACGATTCGTTTTTCCGTTTCTCAACTGTTATTATTGTCGGATGGATTCAGGCTATGTGTAGGAAGATTGTCAATCACACTATTTATTCAAATCAATTTGAATTAGCTTGAAGAGTTTCTTTTATATATTTCTGAAGCAATCCGGAGAAAAGGGCAACGATTATTATCAATTTATTTGAAAGGCTTGCCAGGCCCACGGCGTCCGGCGAGGCTTACCAGAATTTGAAGGAGTTTTATCTGTTGAATCCTGTACATATATAAATGAAAGCCTTTGTTTAAAATCTGAGTTTTAGAAAATTCTGGATTTGTGATGAATTTGATTCAATATGAACTTACAGGCTGTCTGTTACTATCAAATTAATCGAGAATTCATTGTAAAATGAATTATCATGTAAATCGAGAATTCATTTCATTGTAAAATGAATTACCATGTAAAATTCATTGTCAATTGAAATTTTATGTTTGGAATGTCATATTCAAATCTTTAGAAATAAAATGAATTCCACCTACCCTCTCCTTGATAGATTACAGCAGCCACCTTAAGACCCCCCTCCCCCCAGCCGGAAGGACCTGTGGATTAAAAGTAGGGCAGAAGGGTGAGTGAACGGAACCCAACTATCAGAGACGAGAGAAGCCTTCCGATCATTCCTTATTTGCCACCTCAGGCCTTGGGTCAGCAATTGACGGCCATACAGGATGCTCTGCCACCCCCAAGAAGGACGAGACCTGGCTGAAGCAGAGAGGAAACCCCCATGCGGGAAGTACTTTCCTTTGTAGACTTGAGCGAGCAGTGATTGAGGTTCCGACAAAATTTGCCACCCAATTTCGGCTAACAAAGCCTGATTGAAGTGCTCAACCTACGGAAGCCCATACCACCATCATGCTTACTAGTACACATCTTACGCCAGGAAACCCACCTAATTCGTGAACGACCCCCTTCCACCCCCCACCAAAAGCGAGCCACTTGCCTATCCAAGAGGCGACAAAGAGACAGGGGCAACTTAAAGCATGACATCACATGTAGGGGCAATGCTAGAGCGACTGATTTAATCAGGGTCTCCTTCGCTGCCCAAGACAACGTCCGCTGCTTCCATCCTTGAAGTCGGCTGAGCAGCTTCTGTTCCAAAAACCGGAATGTGGCCATTTTTTATCACGCAATCAACGTCGGCAATCCCATATATTTATCCTGGACCTCTACTGCTCCAACCCCCAGAATTTCCGCAAGGAATTCCTGGTCAAGCAGAGAGATATTCTTGCTAAAGCAGACTTCTGATTTATCTAGGTTAACTCGTTGGCCACTGAGTTCCTCATAAGTATTAAGCACTTCGATCAAGTTCTCACACTCTTGAAGTGAGCCTCGAAGAATCAAATATGAATCATCCGCAAAGAACAAATGCGAAATCCTAGGCGCCCTGGGAGCCACCTTCACCCCTTCAAGCTTTCCCAAAGCAATAGCCTGACGGAGAAGAGCCGCAAACCCTTCCGTAAAGAGCATGAACAGTAACGGGGAAAGAGGGTCCCCCTGTCTTAGCCCACGGGACGGGGCAAAGAACCCAGAGGGGGTACCGTTCATAAGAACAGAGAAGGAGGTTGATCGGAGACATTCATGAACCCATCCACACCATGTAGAATTAAAGCCTAATTTTCTTAAAATCGCAAGGAGGAAGGGCCATTCGACTCTGTCATAGGCCTTTTCCATGTCAATCTTTAGAGCCATGTACCCTTTCTTGCCCCACTTTTTGAGTTTCAAATAGTGCATTAACTCATGG